ATTCCAAAACCCTATTCTTTCCCCATTCATTTTCCCCATAGGAATGGCTGAACGAACCAGAGGTAATTCATTTCTGTTTTTTAAGGACTACACGCTGGCGAGCACTATACAGGTGACAGATTAATATATTTTAAATGGGCACATCACACATTCTGTCCATTCAAAGAAGTTGGTGAAATCCTCCCCATTCTACAATAGTTTTTAAAATTATACTCCGTGCCTCGTGTCAGTTCTAAAGACCCTTGATGAATGATATCTGTAATGAAAGGTTAACACAAACGTTCCTTCCATCCCATGACAATAAAGCAAGATAGGCAATTCCAGATATTGATATCATATCCAGTATGTATGACTTCTTTATCGATGTTTGGACTCATAAGGACATGAGATGCCAGTAGAGCGGTGTTTGTGTGCAGTCATTGGATGCGTCTTATCGATAAGCCTCTTATGCCTTGCACTTCTGGCACTGATTCTCCACTCCTCAAGGAAAGCCTAAGTTGCGATAAGTGTGTAGCAAATCACTTCTCTTCACACATTCACACTGGGTTTAACTGGGCTTAGTCCTGCTTTTAGACACTGTGAATTAAAGAACAATCAATGGGTGGACTGGGATGCAATCACGATGTGGTTTTGGTACTGTATGGTCCACACTTTGCATTGTAAGCATGCATTACAACAATCAATTCAATCAATATGTATTTCATATGTATCTCCTATTTTTAGCTGGTGATAAAAGATGGATGTAGAGTGATTAAGGTAAAACAGATATAAGCTTTGTCCAGGGTTAATTAATTACATCTATTTCCAGTTCTCTTCCTTTGATATTTAATTACTTTCCTGGGTGTTCGTCTGACAGTTTCAGCTGAAGGACGAGATCACAAAATAGCCTATGTCTTCATCTAATCCTCTTACAGCTAAGCTCTCTCCCATTTAGCCCCCATGTTGCTGAAACTATATTTAGATATACAGTAAATAACTTAATCAATGTCCCAGAACAGTGACGAGACCGGTACCAGTTATAATACACCATTACCACACCATGCAGGGTTATAAAAGTCACAAGTGACATGGAGAGTCAGGGACACTGAGCAGAGATGGACATCGATATGAAAGGAGACTAACGTGTATGGCTAAAACAAAAATATGTGATTTTAGAAAATATTATCATATAAAAAATGACCAGTTCAAACAGTTGTGGTGCAGGACTCTGTGTTGACTGTATATTTAAGCAATAATGCCAGAGGAGGTGTGGTATATGGTCAATATACCATGGCTAAAGGCTGTTCTTTGCACGACACAACGCGTCTGGACACAGCCCTTAGCCATGGTATATTGGTCATATATCACAAACCCCCGAGGTGCCTTATTGCTATTATAAACTGGTTACCAACGTAATTAGAGCAGTAAAAATAAATGTTTTGTCATACCCGTGGTATATGGTCTGATATACCACTGCTGTCAGCCAATCAGCATTCAGGGCTCGACCCACCAAGTTTATAATGAGCTATACACTATATTGATACACTGTATAGTCACACGCCCAACTAAAGTAAATAACTTAATTAGCCATGATGTTCATATGTTTGTGTCCTCCCATGGTTTCTCAGTGGTGATGGGCAGGCACATATAAATAATTTACACTCAAATGGCTGCCAGTCCACCCATTATGCAATCATTGACTTGAATTCATTCATATTTCTATGGGCAGGCAGGTATTAGCTATGTGCTATACAGTGTCGCTAAATGGTCAGATTAAAGATGAAGAACACTAGGCTTGGAGAAGTGACAGGGCAAAAAAAGTCTGATGCCCCTATTGTATTATGTAGACAGGTGCCATGAGATAGCTAGGCTTCCTCCATCAGTGTAGAACTGAGAGACAGCAGAGAAAGTGAAAGTAGATAACTAAGTTACCAGAAAGGGCAGGATTGCTGTCAGAGATTCCTGTATAATTCAGTGCTTGCATAAACATAGCAGCCCTGGTAATTGAATGGACAGCTACAGTAATGGGATGAGCCCAGGTTTATAACAAGACAGGGTCAGACAGGAGCAGAGCATGCTGTCTGTGTGTTCAGGAATGAACCTTTTATTTTTTACACCAATTGAAATTACCACATACAAAATGCTAATTATGTGCTGAACCCAACTCCAAATGTGAGTGAAATTGTTCACAAAAATTAGCACACAACAAAACCTGGCTTGTCCCAAATTTAAACTGTATGATCAATCAGCATTATACAACATTATACAGTATCCCCATATGATTATAGGGAAATATCTCTCACTATACCTGCCAGTAGGAGGCAGTATAGAGTCTGCAAGGGCCATGGGGACAATAGGGGGTCTGTGTACTAAATCACTACCCAGCAAACATTTGCATCAGGTGGGCCCAATGCGGGTTAAAACCCTGGACCCATGTAGGCTGCCCACATTGGCACGATGTGGGCCCAATGAGGGTTAAAACACTGAACCATGTAGGCTGCCCACATTGGCACGATGTGGGCCCAATGAGGGTTAAAACACTGAACCATGTAGGCTGCCCACATCTATGCCTTTTTACAGACTTTGTCCAATATAAACTTTTATGTTGACATCACACGACAGAACTGGAACGACACTGGGCTGGTGTGGGCTTGGTGTGGGCTAGCCTGTGTTGGGCTTGTTGTAGGCAAGCCTGTGTTGGGCTGGTGTAGGCTTGTTGTGGGCTAACCTGTGTTGGGCTGATGTGGGGTTGCTGTGGGCTAGCCCCTATCTACCCTGCCCACCAAATACCCAAATGGGGCCATGTTTACTGGGTACCCTCCTCTGACCCACCTACATCTGTTGAGAAGCACAACAGAGCTGGAAGAACAGACCACCTCAGGGACAGCAGTAAGGTTTTAGATTTAGGGGTGGGTGAGGGGTTGGGATGGGTGGGATAGAGTGGTACGGGGCTCAGCAGTCACTGACCTCCTATAAGAAAGAGCTACAGGGAGCAACAACAATGACTGGTTTGTGGCCTTTGGAAAGTGGTGAGATGGGATTGGGCCTGTAATAAACAGAGGAGTTGAGAGGGCGGGTAATGGAATGGGCTTGTACTGACGTCAGCTTGTTTGTGTGTGTGTTATGGGGTTGTGTGGTGGGGGTGGTGGGCAATGGATTTCTGCTGAGTTGTAAGAGGCAGCACAGCAAAGCTGGAGCCAAACAGCTGCCCACAAACACAGTTACACCCACTGGGTGAAGAGAGGAGGGGAAGAGGAGGAGGAAGAGGAGGAGGAAGAGGGGTGTTGTTTGGATGCCAAAAATAATCTTCCATATCCATTTGGAGGCTGCTTTTCTGCCGGGAGAGAAAGGAGGGAGAGAAAGGAGTGAGAGAAAGGGGGGAGAGAAAGGAGGGAGAGAAAGGGGGGAGAGAAAGGAGGGAGAGAAAGGAGGGAGAGAAAGGGGGGAGAGAAAGGAGGGAGAGAAAGGAGGGAGAGAAAGCAGGGAGAGAAAGGAGGGAGAGAAAGCAGGGAGAGAAAGGAAAGTTAGGGAGAGTAACAAAGGAGAAGGGCGAGGGACGTAGAAAGAGAGAGGGGAATAAGCTAGCCAGCACAGTGGAAAAAGGCTGGAAAAGAGGACAAGAACGCAGGAGTGAGACAGACAGAGGCTGTGCCAAGCCTCCCACCTGAGTGTGCACCGCACGGCTGTGTTTTGTGTTTGGGATTTCAGGGAAAAGGAGGAGAAGAAGGAGGGGGGAGGATGGAGCGAGGGGTGGGCCAGAGAAAGGAAGAGTCTACTGGCAGCGTTGGTTTCACACACCAGTGATGAAGTGAAGCCCCTCACAGGAATTCTTTCTGCTGCTGCGTCAGTTTTTTTTCTCTCCCCTCTCTTTTCTTTCTTACTCACATCTGGAGCTGGGAGTCACTTCCTCTGTCTGTGCTGCCCACGTTGTGTTGTGCTCTAACAGGGCTAGTCCTTTCATCCTCTACTCCCCCCATCTTCTCCTCCTCCTCTGACGACACTCCAGGGAGATACGGAACACACCAAGCCAGGGGGGCAGGACGCTCCAAACACACTCTCAGCACGGGACCGACCAGGGACCCTGGACACCCCCCACCAACACCTCCGACCCACCCTCTGGAATCTACGTCTGACAACAGAGAGGAAGAGAGAGACTGTGGAATCTGGAGAGAACTGCAACCATCAGCTGAACTTTCTGTAGGGTGTTTGCCCTTTCCCTTATATGGCAAAACAACTGGGAAATCATTTGAATTTGTCTGACTTCTATCCACCACAGCAGGCTGTGCGGCAGGGTTTGTTTGTGTGGCTGACTGACTTCTCTTGGTTCTTCTTTCCTGTGTTGTTTGCATGCGGGGCTCTTATTGAGGGGACAGCAGGCAGGAGCATCGCCGGTGTTTGTGGTGAGGCTGCAGGCACTGCCCCCAGGGTGGTTGGCTAAACGCATCGTTGCTCCCCCCCCTCTCTCTCTTTCTCTCTCTCTCTATCTCTGTCTGTCTGCCTGAGGGAAACATCCGGCTGTCTCTCTGTCTGAGAGGAACATCCGGCTGGCAGCAACCTGCACACAGACACTGAGACAGTCGCTCTCTGCGGGGTAACTAACAGCAAGGTGGGCCAGAGTTCATCAAGTGGAAGCAACTGTAGTTCTGGAATCTGGACACATAGAGAAATCTGTGGGAGGGCTATTCACTCTGACTCTACAACGGCAACAATCCTCAAATGCAACAGGATGTGTAACCCAGTAGGACCCTGGAAGGCGTGCCTGTCTTAAATGAGGAGGGCTGCTGTTGTGGTCCTGTCTCGACCTTACTAATGAGGACCAGGATGCTTGAGAAGCTGTGAACACTCAAGAGGATTGAACAACGAGAGCTGCTGACTGGAGGGTCTCATGGTGCCATGACACAGGTGTCTGAGACAGACTGTGTGTGTGTCATCTCTGACCTTACACCTTGCTGTTGGATTACCTTGTTGGACAGAAAGACACTCCACTGATTGACCGGTGGACAACAACAGCGTCGGTTGTCATGGCGATGGCGGCGTGGTACCACCGTGACATCAGCCGTGTGCATGCGGAGGACTTGCTAGCCCGGGCTGGGAGGGACGGCAGCTTCCTGGTCAGGGACAGTGAGTCTGTGCCTGGAGCCTACGCCCTCTGTCTGCTGTGAGTAGCCTACCACCACACACACACACACACACACACACACACACGCACACGCACACGCACACGCACACACACACAAACACAACATTCCTTTCCATCTCTGAGTGTGTATGTTCATTATCAACTCAGTGATGCTCACAGTCAGTGGAAGGGGAACTAACCTCATATTCACAAGTGCTATAGAGTGCCTCAATGTCTGTATTGTAAATGGAGTTAGCAGCCTGTCTCGCTGTCATCTCCATCAGTGTCACTCTGAGCTGGGCCAGCGGGCAGGGAGAAGGCTGTGGCTCACAGGGCTGCTGGAAGTCTATATCTCCTGAACATTCAGGCTGCCCTGTCTCGATACAGCCCAACCAAGCCTGGACAGTGTGCGTGTGTAACCCTGGCTTAGGCCCCCCCCCCCCCCCCCCCCCCCCCCCCTCCACCCCCTCCCTTCAGTCTTCCCTGGGGCCCCTGGAAGAGGGCGGGAGCTGCAGTGACCACACGGCTCTCTGTGCACAGCAGCCCCGAGCCAGACACATTCCTGAAAGCTGAGCCCCACTGCTGATCATGCTGCCCCCCCCCCCCCTCTCTTAGCTGTCTCATTCTCTCTTTCCTCATTCCCCTTTCTCTCTCTTTTGCTGTGTATTCTATTCTGTGTTTTTCCTGTCCCTCTGTCTCTGTACCTATTCCTCCTCTCTATGTTGTATGTCGGTCTACTGTACACTAATCTAATCTCCACATCAATACAGGTCTACTGTGTCTTGACATTATTCTCTAACTTCATTACAGGGAAATATGGATTCCTTCTAGATGAATGATACATGTGATTTTCTACCGGGCATCACAAGGCCAAGCTTTCAACAGGGGGTTTTATAGGCATTTACTGTACTGTGTTTCAAGGTTGTGAGAGGTAGTAGAGATAAAAGTTAGCCATCTATTGGATCCTTGACACAGACTAGTGGTATGATTTTGCTACCAAGTGATTATTATCGAACATGAAGCCCACATGCGGTCCAGATGAATGACACCCATCAGGCTAGTTTGTGTAGGTTGTTTCTTGTCAAACACATGGAAAAGGAGTCTTAGAAAACATCTACCAGAAAAAGTATTTAAAGGTATTAGAAAAAAATCGAAACACAATAATGTTGAAGTAAAGACCCCTGCCAACTAATATCAACATTTATATTTAGTTTAGGAAAAAAAATTCAGCTTTCTGTAAGTTTAAGAAACATTGCCTTGTGCCTTGAAATTCTGTTACCAAAAACCCACATATTTGTAAGATATTTTCATGAGGATGGAGAATAATAAAAGTTGACAAGTAAAGGTAGACCTATCAATTAGTTATAATGTTTTTACTGATATCAATTATGTTAATGAATTATTAAGTGATTTAAAGAGGGTGTGTTATCAGCTGATCATTGATGATGATTGATGTAAGTCAAATTTGTAAGTCGCTCTGGATAAGAGCGTCTGCTAAATGATGTAAATGTAAATGTAAATCTGATAGTTAGGGACAGATCGCAATTTACTGGGGGGAGGGGTGGTCCAAAATAGGGGAGGGTTGTCAAACTTTTATTTTGCTTTGGGGAGGGTAGTACGTTTTTTTCCCTCCCCTTTAACAAGGTGTTTTGGTACTTCCCTTATGCACTACGCCTTTCTGCCGCTAACTTTTACTATACCACAGGTCAGTATATTCTACTAGTCTAACTGTCTATCCTGCCCTCTATCCACCATGCAAAGTGACAATAGTGGGAGGTGGATCGTTTGTACAGATCTGCAACAGGCTAACTAGCATATATACCACATATAAAAACATTCAAAGCTGCATCAATTTTGAATACGAATCTACAAGAACAAATAGGAATAGCTGATAGGCAGAGGAGAGGCCAGGTGCATCATTACACATGAAAGAACAGTGAAGAAATGACACACGCAGCTCAAAAATCTCCCCTATTGGTCTTGTTTATGAACAATACAATTATCCTACCTATACTAGCCTACAACACCGCAATGCAATGAATAATTGCATTATCGTTTTCAAATGAGTACAACATTCTAGCCTACTCTGGGCTGCAGTGAAAATGTAATTAGAATAACAGCACAAAAGCCCTGTGATTTGAATGTTTGATTTGATTTGGATCAGCTGTGGGTCTACTCTCGACAGGCCAGTCTGGCTATATGTTTACTTCTGATACTGAATGTGCTGTCTGTTGCAGAACATCATTCTCCCAAGTCGTTCTATAATAATGTGGCTACATATGCTCACGGCAGGCCCAGTTATTCAGGAAAACTTAACACATGCTCTGCCTCCTCTCCAATCCGAGCGGCTATTCCTTGTGCACCTAGAACCCAACGCTTCAATATAGCCTAAATATTTATAATTTCGCTTTTTAAATGTATTACCTTTTATATATGGCATAAACACAACCAGTCACAATGTTTTTATCTGATTAGGCTACTTAAAAAGTCTCCTTTAGGCATGCGCACGTTCATCCAAAATATATAGTGCCTTAAGAAAGTATTCACACCCCTTTACTTTTTCCACATTTTGTGGTGTTACAGCCTGAATTTAAAATGGATTAAATTTTGTGTCACTGGACTACACACAATAACCCATAGTGTCAAAGTGGAATTATGTTTTTAGAATTTTTTTGAAATTAATAAAAAATGAAAAGCTGAAATGTCTTGAGTCAATAAGTATTCAACCCCTTTGTTATGGCAAGCCTAAATAAGTTCAGGATTAAAAATGTGCTTAACAAGTCACATAATAAGTTGCATGGACTGACTCTGTGTGCAATAATAGTGTTTGATTTTTGAATGACTACCTCATCTGTGTACCACACACATACAATTATCTGTAAGGTCCCTCAGTCGAGCAGTGAATTTCAAAAACAGATTCAACCACAGAGACCAGGAATTTTTCCAATGCCTCATAAAGAAAGGCACCTATTGGTAGATGGGTAAAAAAAACAGACATTGAATATCCCTTTGAGCATGGTGAAATTATTGATTACACTTTGGATCAGTCACTACAAAGATACAGGCGTCCTTCCTAACTCGGTTGCCGGAGAGGAAGGAAACCACTCAGGGATTTCACCATGAGGCCAATGGTGACTTTAAAACGGTTACAGAGTTTAATGGCTGTGATAGGAGAAAACTGAGGCTGGATCAACAACATTGTAGTTACTCCACAATACTAACCTAATTGACAGAGTGAAAAGAAGGAAGCCTGTATAGAACACAAATATTCCCAAACCTGTATGCTGTTTGAAACAAGACACTAAACTAAAACTGGCAATGAATTGAACTTTAAATCCTGAATGCAAAGCGTTATGTTTGGGCCAAATTCAACACAACACATCACTGAGTACCACTCTTCCTATTTTCAAGCATGGTGGTGTATGCATCATGTTATGGGTATGCTTGTCATCAGCAAGGACTAGGAATTTTTTTGTATGAAAAGAAGCTAAGTGCAGGCAAGATCCTAGAGGAAAACCTTGTTAAAAGTTAATTTGTGGAATTTCTTTCCTTCTTAATGCGTTTGAGCCAATCAGTTGTGTTGTGACAAGGTAGGGTTGGTATACAGAAGATAGCCCTATTTGGTAAAAGACCAAGTCCATATTATAGCAAGAACAGCTCAAATAAGCAAAGAGAAATGACAATCCATCATTACATTAAGACATGAAGGTCAGTCAATCCGGAAAATTTCAACAACTTTGAAAGTTTCTTCAAGTGCAGTCGCAAAAACCATCAAGCGCTATGATGAAACTGGCTCTCATGAGGACCGCCACAGGAAAGGAAGACCCAGAGTTACCTCTGCTGCAGAAGATAAGTTCGTTAGAGTTACCAGCCTCAGAAATTGCAGCCCAAATAAATGCTTCACAGAGTTCAAGTAAAAGACACATCTCAACATCAACTGTTCAGAGGAGACTCTTCCTTAATATAGGCTTTTAAAAATTTATTTTTATTAATATTATGCAGTGGACACCTTAGTTTCTAGGCCTAAGCATGCAATGCCCTGATGCATTTAGTGTTCAAATCTTCAACAGCAGTCACTTTTGTTTATTGGCTATAAAAGTTTGCATATGCTACAAATCGAAACACAAGGAATAGTGTTTTTGTAATTTATTATTATATTTATAAGGACACGTTATTTTGTGGCTCATTTGGCCAATATCCCTCGTTTATTGATGGCGTTGGCTGCGCCAACCAGACAGAATATTGATGATGTAAATCAAGTGTTATCAAGTGTTAATCAAATGTTATGCTGCTGCGGCAGTACTGTTGATATTAAAACTAGGTAGCTAGCTACACACACTCGATAGGTGTCCATCTCAAGCCATGCATGTTTGGATACCAGTGCAGGGCAGAATGGGGAAAAAGGTGCAAACTGGCGCGCGTGAGCTCCGTACAGGGCAGACCAACAGGCGCAACCAACGGACGGGGTGGGGGTGGGGGATGGCTAACTTGAAGACCTCATGACGATTTGCGGACAATGGGTTCAGAACAACAACAACAAAACTTTATACTAAAATAATATCTATACCACCACCCAAAAGGGCACTTGGCGAGTGGGAAGGCAACACAGAACATGACCAACCCAGAACATTCATGGACTTTAAAAGTAGTTGAAATTTGGTCAGTCCACCCTTGCCTTGATTTCAAGGTCCACAGATGTTGTTTTTTGTTACACCTAGACAGGCTTTAATTTCAATGTCCACAGATGTTGATTGTTGGTCGGGTCTGGACCGGCCATGATTTGACCCAAACAAACATCTATGATTGGTTCAGATTTGGTCCGGACCAGACAAGAAATGAACCAAACATAGATGTCTATGTTTCACAAGTTTGGAGAGCACAGTACAGTACAGTACAGTACAGTAGAGCTCAGGAGAGGACAGTACAGTAAAGTACAAAAAAAGGTTGAGTAAACAATATCTCAGTACAGTACAGTCCTGTACAGTAGAGTGGAGTAGAGTTCAGTACAGTACAGTACACAGTAGAGCACACGAGTTGAGTACACTATAATGTACTGTACTGAACTATACTGTACTGTACTCTACTGAGCTCTACTGTGCTGTACTTTGATGTCCAAACTTGTGAAACATAGATTTGGTCTTGTTTAGTGGAGGAGCTCATTAAAATGAACGTGTAGAATAATAACCAAATAGACAAAGGATGATATTGTATATTTCTACCATTGTGTACCTATTTAAGATACATTTACATGAAGATAATGACATTCATATCCATAATTATGCATTTCTGTGTAGTACAGATCAGGGACCCATGATAAAATTCTGTTAACGCAATTCCACTTCACTTACTGTGGCTCAATAACCAAAATAAGGTGTCATTTCATAGCTGGCACCCATTCTTTCGGCAGACATCTTTTAATCTTAATCTGAAGGAGATTTTATCGAAATCCTTTTACCAAACTTTTCATCTGCACAGTTCTTCCAGTAAATGTGTTTTTGTAAATTGTTCAAAGTAGTTATTGTGCATAGAGTTGTATGGTTAAACTTTGAAATCAAAGGTTTTTGTTTGGCATACATTTTAAGTGAAAAATCTTAGTCTCAGCGCAGTTCCGTTAGCGTGGAATTGCCCGGTAGTAGTCATATAGTCCCACACTACGCAGTGGACCATGAAGTTGCTACAACAACCATCTAACTGAGTCACACCATCAACAAATGAGCGTCTTGTTTATCTTTAACAAGGGCAGCACATCTGCTCGTCCTTATTTTTTTGTTACTTTAAAGCTGTTTTGCCTTTGATTGTTTATTTCTGGCCCATGACAGTGGTATAGTTCTATGTAGTGCTGTCTTGTATATAGTATATAGTACATTTATAAATGTTATTTTCCCCTTTTCAGGTTCCAACGGCACGTTCACACTTATCGTATTCTTCCTGACGCAGACGGCCTGTTGGCTGTTCAGGTGAGTGACCATCATCAGTTCAACTTTCCAAACCCCCCCTCACTTACACACATGACCTAATCCTGACAGTAACTAGGCGAATACTGTAGCATATACTGTAGCCTACATGTGCATGCATGATAGTATCCTCTTGTAGCAACCACTTTCGAGAAAGAATGGACAATACAATACTGTAGTTGTTGTTATCGTTACAACAGAGTTGTGTTATTGTCTGTCGTAAGGGAAACAGGAAGTGTCTTGTGTTAATATACTAGGCTCATTCTGCTACAGGCCTTTTTGTTTGAATGGTATCTCTGCCATGCAGCTGCATGCTTGGAGAATGACCTCAGCTCCACAGAGGAGAAATTGTGTGTCTTCCAGATTCCTGACCTACCCACTCATTGACCAGTGCTCTAAGGGGGATGGGTCTGTTGGTGCTTTGTGTCGTGGACAAGGATGTGTGTGTTGAGAGATAGTTGGACAGGGGATAGGGATGCTTTGAATTAGTTTGTGTGTGGTGATTGTATGGATGTGTTTTAGTTAGTGACTATAGGGGACGGCTCCTTTCAAGAGCCAAAACGCCTGGTCCTAATTATCAGGACGGAGAAAAAAATACAGTAACAAAAAATATTAGAGGCAGCCCACAAACCAGCCTGTGCATTCCTTTACCATATCTGGTGCAAAAACAACAGCTCAATAACAATTGTCTCATAGAGACAGTCATTTAATGAGTCTTTGATTTGAAAACACCATATAAACGTTATTTTCAGATGAGGGCTGTGCTCCAATTACTGTATCGCTGCTTCGCTTGTTTTCCACTGAAGTCAGTAAAGTCTCACTGGCTTTGTTATAAAAAAAACATTACCACGTAGGGATTGCGTGGTTGCTTTCTTGTTTTTCTGAGGAGGCTATTTTATAGAGGGGATATTTTGAGCAAAAAGACAGGCCGTTTTTGTCTCCCTGTGTCGTTTAGTCTGTATTTTCTTTGTAATCACTTTTCAAGAGCTCCTCGAAAAAATGCATCAACCATTAGAAGAGTCCCTGGCAACTGGGGCGGGTAACGTCTGCCAAATTTTTTTTTTCAAACCACACAATGAAAACAAACTTTCTAAAATAAGTCGTACAGGAAAGGGGCTTTTAGTTTGCGGTGTTGCTGTGTGTGCCCTGTTGGCCCTGTGTCTGAGAGTGTGTCTGTGGCGTCTAATATGTCTATACCCGCAGTGTGTGTGTGTGTGTGACTGGCACTTAATGTGTTTGTCCATGGCTGTTGAATGTGTATTTCCCCCTCCATGTTTACTGTACATATCTGAGGCAGCTGGCTGTTGGAGTGTTGTTTATAGCGGGCAGCGTTTGTACGGTAGACTGGCTCAGAACACAGAGGTCGGCTAGTAAACTGCTGGAACACTGTGACTCATGGCAGCCAACCTTGGCAGTGACCAGAATGTGGGTGGCTGGTTGTGACATCATCTCCTGTCCCGTGGGGATAGCAGGGGTTTCTGCAGCCTGCTGGGCAGTGAGTGTTTGATGTGGTTCTTGTTCTGGCCATGCAAACAGAGGTGAGTGGTTGTGGCTTCTGTTTGGCACCTCCAGGGCCTAAGAGACTAGCACCTCTACTCCAAGGGATCCTCCTGAGTATATCCAGGTCGGTTGACTGCCAGAGCTCAGGAGACTTGCAGTCACATTTAAAAAATCCACCACCATTTTGTTTTGGTGGACAATGTTAGAACAACACAAGCGTATCCTGAACAGGTTCTTATGGATTTGAGACATTTGTACGGTCTTCCAAGCTTTAGGAACTTTAGAGAAACAGTTTAGAAACAGTATCTTGTGGACGGGTTGCAGCTCATTGTGGCATCAGTTCAGGGAATTTGTTCATCTGTCCTGTACCTAAAGGAAACCCTCATGAAGATCACCTGTGTTGTGTAGGTTCTATATATATCATGTGTTTATGGTATTTTTGACCTTTCTGGGTAACCACAGCCCATGTATGTTCATTCTTATATGTTTGAGCAAATCGCTATATGTCTGTGAATGTCTATTTATATTATAATTCTGTCTATACTGTATGTGTGTTTCCCCACAGACGTCTCAGGGGGTGCAGGTGAACTGTTTCCGTACACTGGGGGACCTGGTGTTGGGGTACCAGCACCCCCATAATGGTCTGGTCACCCCCCTGCTGTACCCTGTGGGGAGGGACACGGAGCCTGGTGACGAGAGCTCAGGTGATGATGAGAAGCCAGGGCTGGTGTGGAGTCCCAGCCCAACCCCAGTCTCGGTCTGTACAGCTCCCCCCGCAGGACCCCCAGTCAACCTGCCCCCACACCTCCTCTTCCTCCACAGGCTGCAGGAGCTCAACACACCCAGGTACACACTCCCTAACACCAATCACACATCAGGAGAATGCAGACATACTTCCAGTTCCACACATAAATAGGGAACAATGTGCAATATTGGTCTGGGGTTATTTAGGGATGAAAGTACTTTAGCACTTTAGCACTGAACCACTTCCCTGTGGCATCTAGGTATTCCCTTTCCCTTCCTCTTCAACATGCCTGAGTGGTGCGTTCAACAACGCTCACGGCAAACTTTGTTTTTTGTTTTCAACAGAGTGTGTTGAATGTTTTTTTTTAACACAAACATTCCATTCCGTTCGTTTTAGCTACTCAATCTGGTAAAATAATGGATAAACCACGTAAAATATAGATTTTATACTGTGGTTTCACAGCATGGCAGGTGAGGTGGTTGGGCTGCTCAGTGAGTATCTGTGCAGTGAGCTGCCTCTGGATGTTGAAGGTCTACGTAGAGGAGCAAAAGGCCTACGCCATCTACACCAAACCCTGGGCACTGCATGCCAGGGACTCAACAGGTGGGTTTCAGCATGTTACTACTGCTATTACAGTTAAAGTGTTGTATGTCATTTAGTGTTTGTGATGTGATGGATTTGTTGGTTATCACAGGGAGAAAATGAAACTGATTGTCTGATCCACAGTGAGATTGACCTGACCATGTCCAGTTTGGAGACTCTGGCCAAAGTGTTTGACCATCCCACCTGCCCTTTAACCTCCGCCAAGTCACAGGTACATCCCATCTGTGATATACCCTGTCTGTCCTAAACTCTCTGACCTACCCTGTCTGTCCTACCCTGTCTACTCTACTGTGGTCCACGAGGGACCCACAAACTAAGAAGACAGAAAACTAATGGAAATCTGCTTTGCTACGCCCTCTAGTGCACTAATTGAGAAAAATAACTTTCACAGAGCATCACTGTCTGAATCACTCATCTCTAAATATGTTCCATTCATGGGGTACAATTACATATTTATATCTGTATTGCATGCACATAGCACACAGCTACTTAATACAGTATATTACTGTTCCTCCTTTTAGAATATGGGTAGAGGTCCAGACATGGAGTTGGACAGCCTGCTGGGTAAGATCTCTGCCCTGGTCAGCCTGCTCTCCTCCCTGGAGAAGAGGGTATGTACCCACATATACACACACACTACCACCCAATGCAAATCAGTCTGATATTCATTGTCTACACAGTCTAAAGCTCTCTATGCTCTTACTGTGCAGGTGCTGAAAGCTCTTCAAGATGCTGTGACCAATCACAACTTGGCTGTGCAGCCTGCCCCTCCCCCTGTGCCCACCCCTGTCTCAGCTCCAGCCCCTGCTCCTGCCCCAGCTCCTGCGCCAGCCCCAGTCTCTGCTCCAGCCCCAGTCCCTGCTCCATCCCCTGCTCCATCCCCTGCTCCAGCCCCAGTCCCTGCTCCAGCCCCAGTCCCTGCTCCATCAATAGTCCCTGTAGCCAAGAACCATGCCAGGCCCATACCTGTCCACTCTTTCCAGGTGAGAGAGAGAGAAAGGTCTCTTCATACCTTTAGGGGGGCATACCAGCTGTTTAATCATATTTTGATCATCTTTGAGGTACAGTATTGTATATCTTGCATCATCTTTGTGTGTGTGTGTGTGTGTGTGTGTGTGTGTGTGTGTGTGTGTGTGTGTGTGCGTCTAGATTAAGATGGTGCGTTACGGCAGACAGACAGTGTCAGTGGACGTGGACACAGGAGTGCTGCTGTTTGACAGGAAGGCCGGGTCATTTGGAGTGGAGACAGTCTCACACGACCGGAGTAAGAGAAGAACATCAACATCTAACATTACTTGACCGAGTTTGATAAAGAAGCGTTCAATGATCCTAATGATTCACCTCTTTTCCTTCAACGTGCATGTGTCAGTTCTGCAACTGGTCAAGTTCCAGAGCAGTCCAGCCAAGCTGCGCATGGTAGTGGACAGTCATCACAACACCCCACGAGAGCTCACGTTTGAGAGTGCAAGGGTACATACAGGTCTACATTCATCTGTGTGTGTTGCTACCCATTGGATTCCATTGTAGTTTATATTGACTGAGAACACTCTCTCTTCCCTCCAGAAACAGGAGGCGTTCTGCCAACTGCTACAGCTGATGAAGACCAGACACTCCCAACTGAGTGAACCTGACGTCATCTCTGTGTTTGTGGGCAGCTGGAATATGGGTAACTAAGACACCAATGGCACCTCACTGTCCTAGAGTGAATTTTACTGTCTGGCATCAGTACTTTTACTGGTATGGTTATGGCAAGTTATTACAGGGTTATTACACTGGAAAGTCACTATTTTCTTATTAGAAAGACAATTGTTTTATTGTAAGCACTAGATGTTGGTCTATTCTGAGTTGGACCCTCACTAATGATCTTAATGGCTGTGTGTCCAGGTGGCTCCCCTCCCCCTCGCAGTCTGCAGTCCTGGGTGACGTGCTGTGGTCTGGGTCGAACCCCAGATGAGTCCACAGCTCTGCTGCCTCATGACATCTACGCCCTGGGTACCCAGGAGAACTCTCAGGGGGAGAAGGAGTGGACCGAGCACATCAAGGCTACTCTACACAGCTACACTCACATGGAGTACAAACAGGTGAGCGTCAGCTTTTCCTCTATTGTTCTCCATTTATCTCCATTTTCCCTCTCTCTCTCTCTTATTTTTAGTTTATAGTTTTTTTGACACAGACAATGTACAATGAAAACAAATGTTTTAGAACACTGAGAAAGGAAACGTTGCACCATATTTAGCAAACAGCTCATTTCTATCTGTAGTCCCGTCCTCTTTCTCCATCTCTCCCTGCTTCTTTTTCTCCATCTCTACTGTATGTGCCGCTCTTTTGCCATCTTTCCATCTCTGTCTCTTTCGTTCTGTCCCTATACCTTATTGTCCCTTTCTCCCAGCTTTCAGTCTCTCTGATTGACATACGTTTGCATTATGTCATTATGCCCTTGCTCACCTTATAGGATATCTGTTTGATGTACTTTTTATTTGACCCATTCATCCTGAAACACTGATTGGTGTTTATCTCTCTGTGACAGTTCCTTTACATGCTCTTTGTATTTGCACTTTGTCAACAAGAGGTACATAGAACAGGGTGTATAAACCAATAATGTATATAAACCCTGGATTGCGGATGCTATGTATTGATTGGCCAATGAGAGGATTTGAAGCCACCAGTGGGCCATATTGGCACTCCCTAGAAGAGGAAGTTTGCCATTGGAATGAATGGAATTATACAGTATTTCAAATAAATGTTTTAAGGACAAAATGACATGGATTTAAGTATTTTGTTGTTGTATTGGGGACAGTAACATTAGAACTTTCAAAAAGTATGCTTTAAGGAAAATGATTTTATATATTAAAAAATAAAATAATGTTTAGCTCACATAATATAATTTCAATGTATGCATTAAGGTGTCTGTAATATAATACATGTGGCAAAAACAAATGTAGACATTAATAAATGCATTTCTATAGCTTCCAAAATATTTTTTTACAACGGTGGAGGAGTGCCAATATGGGGGCGCGGTGGTTTCAAAACCGCTTCCCCTGTTAGTCATCTAGTGTATATAAAAATAATTGGTATAAACTGGAAATCTAGAGCATCTTAAGGTTTTTTACTCATTCATTTACCAGATACTTACTGGAGTTAGCCTAGCAATAAAATGTCTAAAAACGATTGCTTATGTCTATGATTACTATACCCCCATGAAAAATCAAGGCCTATGTCTTGATTGCTCTGTTATAGTGTACTGTGGTGATATGTCCTGCAGGTGGCAGTACAGTCCCTGTGGAACATGAGGCTGGCAGTGTTTGTGAAGCCAGAGCACGAGAGTCGCATCAGCCATGTAAACACAGCCAGTGTGAAGACTGGCCTGGGGAACACACTGGGTATGATGCCAGGCCCCTACTTAGGTCGTCTATGGGTTGGCTACACATAACACCACATCCTCCTCCTCCTCTCAGAAAAGAATGCATAGTATACACATACACATACCAGTGGAAGCTGCTGAGGGGAGGGCGGCTCATAGTAATGGATGGAATGGAGTCAATGGAATGTCATGGAAACCACATGTTTGATACCATTCCATTGACTTTATTCCAGGCATTATTATGAGCCGTCCTCCCGTCAGCAGCCTCCACTGACACATACTGTACATTTGGCATGGCCTACAGCCAAAGACACGTGTCAAACTCATTCCACGGAGGGCTGAGTGTCTGCAGGTTTTTACTCCTCCCTTGTACTTGATTGATTAATTAAGGTCACTACTTAGTCAAGAACTCCCCTCACGTGGTTGTCTAGGTCTTAATTGGAAGGAAAAACCAAAAACCTGCAGACACTCGGCCCTCCATGGAATGAGTTTGACACCCCTGATCAATGACATCAGAGCATGATTAACAGGAATGAGATGTTGTGTTTAATTAACTAACTGAGGTTAACCTTTAAATGTCAATCTGTAAAATCTGTTTGTTTCCAGGAAATAAGGGTGCTGTTGGCGTCTCCTTCCTCTTCAACAGTACATCTTTTGGATTTGTTAACTGCCATCTGACCTCTGGCAGTGAGAAAATAGTCAGGTATGTACATATTGTATGCACCAGTGGAGGTTGCTGAGGGGTGAACGGCTCATAATGGCTGGAACGGAGCGAATGGAATGGGATCAAACCATGTGTTTGATGTATTTGATACTATTCCACTAATTCAGCTCCAGCCATGACCACGAGCCCGTCCTCCTCAATTAAGGTGCCACCAACCTCCTGTGGTATACACAACTGTATACATACCCATTTCCAATGTTCAGCTGTTTAGTATATAATTTGGGGGTGTTGGTTGACTGATAGAACATTAGGGTGATGTTCAACACAAATATCATCAGATTGATGTACAGTGTGTCCTTTTAATATAAGGACATGCCAGGGCTGTACAGTGTGTATGTTTCTACTGTATGTATGCAGCATGTCTATGTGTGTGAGTTGATGTTGTCCTTCAATGTCTCTCCCTGTGCTTGTGGTCCTGTCAGGAGGAACCAGAACTATGCGGACATCCTCAGGCTGTTGTCGCTGGGTGACCGGCAGCTCAGTGCCTTTGACGTCAGCCTGCGCTTCACACATCTCTTCTGGTGTGGAGACCTCAACTACAGACTAGACTTGGACGTACAGGTCAGACAAAACCTGTCTCCTCTACACTTTCGGTTTCATTGTTCCCCAGCAAATAGATAAAATTTAGTGTAACCCGAAAACAAGAATCTCCATAGACCCAGAGCCTTACCTTGAATTCTCTCATACTGAATCTCTATTGTTTTACAGGACATTCTGAAACATGTGTCCAAGCGGGAGTTTGATGAGCTCATGTGTGCTGACCAGCTAACGCGAGAACGACACAAGAGGAAGGCCTTCCTCAATTTCAGTGAGTAGCATCCTACTGGCATCATGTCAAACTGTATGTTTATGTGCGGGTGAAAATACCTGTGTTATTGATTCTTGTCAATAATTTCTGAATCTACCCCCTCTCTCTCCTATTCTCGCTCTATTTCTCTCTCTTTGTCCTGGTTAAGAGGAAGAGAAGATTGCGTTTCCTCCCACCTATCGGTACGAGAGGGGGTCCAGGGACAGCTACCTGTGGCAGAAGTACAAGACCTCTGGCGTGAGTCTACCTCCCTGTGGCACTATCTGACAACCTCTCAAAGGTACATTATGTCCAAATCAGGGTGTTGTCTGAATTACAGTCAATCCGAAAGTGCTGAATAATCCACACAAAGCATCACTTGTGAGCCTTGTGAAGCAGTCAGCAAATAAGGATATTGCATAATGCTAGGTTGGGAAGCTTCGCTATTGCAACTAGTGTAACCTGCCCCACTAAACATTTTACACAAAGAAGTATAGCTCACTACTGGACTTAATTTATTTGTAAAACAATCAGTCTGTATTGGGGTTACAGGGGGTGGGTGCTTTGACGGCAGCTGTCATCATGGCTACTGAAACTACCTCACAGGCTGAAATGGCTGGTATGATTGGAGTGCAGTGTTCCCTACATTATATAATATAATTTTTCTAATCAATTCTATGTTCAATATGTCCGCATCAATCACACACAAACACACAATACATATAGTAATTATTCTATTCTGTGTCTACAGGTGCGTGTCAATGTGCCATCATGGTGTGACCGGATTCTGTGGAAGTCCTACTCAGAGACACATATCACCTGCAACTCCTATGGTGGGTTTAGGTTTAGGACGGGGATGGGCAACTTTGATGGGGGTGGGGGCCACAAAAAAACTCATCATAAGGGGCTGCAGTGTCTCATGGCTCTGCGTGCCCCCCCTTGCGAGAAAACATTTTAGCGGCCCCCCTCATGACAACGATGACAGAAATGTACGTTTTACGGTTAATCTCCTGCATTTCTGCACATTTTGCCTTGGGGAGGCGAAAAATGTAGCAGTTTTAAAGCAAATTTGCTGCAATTCTACTCATTTTGCCATGGGGCGGAGAAAAACATTAGCAATTTTGAAGCTAATTTCCTACAATTCCACACATTTTGCCATAGGGTGAAGGCAAATGTTTGCAGTTTTTTATATGATAACTGATTATCAATGGGCCCCACCCCGGTCAGTAATTCGACCATGCTTACTATAAGTTTAGATAGCTGGCCACTAGACTAACTTACCAATCGAAAATAATTTAGCTGACATGGGCTAAATGTGTGGTCCTCTGTAGCTCAGCTGGTAGAGCATGGCGCTTGTAACGCCAAGGTAGTGGGTTTGATCCCCGGGACCACCCATACACAAAAATGTATGCACGCATGACTGTAAGTCGCTTTGGATAAAAGCGTCTGCTAAATGGCATATACCGTATACCAATTGAGTGACTGCTGATGCACACCCACATTTCGAAATTGAACCTTGTGTTTTCTATTATTCTATCTCTCAACAGTAAGTTGAGATCCCGACTGAGTTCCAAAACCCCCCCAAATATATACAGTACCAGTTAAAAGTTTGGACACACAAACACATTCAAGGGTTTTTCTTTATTTGTATTATTTTCTACATTGTAGAAAAATAGTGAAAACATCAAAACAATGAAATAACACATATGGAATCATGTAGTAACCAAAAAAGTGTTAAACAAATCAACATTTATTTTAGATTTTAGATTCTTCAAAGTAGCCACCCTTTGCCTTGATGACAGCTTTGCACACTCTTGGCATTCTCTCAACCAGCTTCACCTGAAATGCTTTTCCATCAGTCTTGAAGGAGTTCCCACATATGCTGAGCACTTGTTGGCTGCTTTTCCTTCACTCTGCGGTCCAAATCATCCCAAACCATCTCAATTGGGTTGAGGTCGGGTGATTGTGGAGGCCTCAACTGATGAATTTTTATTTATTTTTATTTTACCTTTATTTAACTAGGCAAGTCAGTTAAGAACAAATTATTATTTACAATGACGGCCTACACCGGCCAAACCCGGACGACCCTGGGCCAATTGTGCGCCGCCCTATGGGAAGCACAACATCACTCTCCTTCTTGGTCAAATAGCCCTTACACAGCCTGGAGGTGTGTTGGGTCATTGTCCTGTTCAAAAACAAATTATAGTCCCACTAAGCGCAAACCAGATGGGATGGCATATCGCTGCAGAATACTGTGGTAGCCATGATTATTAAGTGTGCCTTGAATTCTAAATAAATTACTGACAGTGTCACCAGCAAAGCACCCCCACACATCACACCTCCTCCTCCATGCTTCATGGTGGGAACCACACATGCAGAGATCATCCGTTCACCTACTCTGCGTCTCACAAAGACACGGCAGTTGGAACCAGAAATCTCAAATTTTGACTCATCAGACCAAAGGACAGATTTACACCGGTCTAATGTCCATTGCTCGTGTTTCTTGGTCCAAGCAAGTCTCTTCTTCTTATTGGGGTCCTTTAGTAGTGGTTTCTGTGCAGCAATTTGACCATGAAGGCCTGATTCACACATGAACAGTTGATGTTGAGATGTGTCTGTTACTTGAACTCTGTGAAGCATTTATTTGGGCTGCAATCTGAGGTGCAGTTAACTCTAATGAATTTATCCTCTGCAGCAGAGGTAACTCTGGGTCTTCCTTTGCTGTGGCAGTCCTCATGAGAGCCAGTTTCATTGAAAATGGGTCGTGGATGGGTATTCCAGCATGACAATGACCCAAAACACACGGCCAAGGCAACAAAGGAGTGGCTCAAGAAGAAGCACATTAAGGTCCTGGAGTAGCGTAGCCAGACCTTAATCCCATAGAAAATATGTGGAGGGAGCTGAAGGTTTGAGTTGCCAAATGTCAGCCTCGAAACCTTAATGACTTGGAGAAAATCTGCAAAGAGGAGTGGGACAAAATCCCTCCTGAGATGTGTGCAAACCTGGTGGCCAACTACAAGAAATGTCTGACCTCTGTGATTGCCAACAAGGGTTTTGCCACCAAGTACTAAGTCATGTTTTGCAGAGGGGTCAAATACTTATTTCCCTCATTAAAATGCAAATCAATTTCTAACATTTTTGACATGCGTTTTTCTGGATTTTTTTGTTGTTATTCTGTCTCTCACTGCTGAAATAAACCTACCATTAAAATTATAGACTGATCATTTCTTTGTCAGTGGGCAAACGTACAAAATCAGCATTTTTTCCCTCACTGTATGTTAAATATATCGATAACAGTCACTTATTAAATAAATACCTCTTATCAGTCTCATTCTGAATGTCGCATAATCCTTGAACCTGCAAGAACCCTAACCTTATTGATGAATCAGCAATACACAAATTGGCTTATTTATTTACTAACTAAATAATAACACAATACAAACACACATAGGTTATTGATTACTAACGTAATACAATTAAAACAGGTACCTAGTGGACTGGACTAACATTAGCATGAATGCTTGGGTGGTGGAGGGGTCAGAATGGAAGGGAGAGACAGAGAGTCAAACTATCGTGGTTACTTTGGAAACTACGCTACACGGAAATATAAATGCTTAAAACCACACTAAACGCTCATTCTGATTAGAAATGCAATATGTGTAGCTGTCCTCGATAGTTCAATTGATGATGTAGGACTCTGGTTTGCCCACCAGAGATTCCAATGTACTTGGTAGAATTTCTGGTCGTAGTGGTGGTTAGAATGGATACTTCAGATGTACCAGCGGTTGTCGGAGAGGAATTGTCCTTTCCAACTCGTGTCTTTAGTGAAAGTTCTCTAGACGACTATACATGCCAGCTGCAGACTGAGAAGATAAGGTCTAGTGCATTGTCTTCTTCTTCACCTCGTGTAGAGGTTGAGAGTTTCAGAGTTTCTCCATTTCAAACGTGTGGACTAACGTCTCACGTTTTCTGGTCTTTCTAGTCTAACCATTTTGTAACGTGTAGCTTCAGCGTCACGCTTCTTGGTCTTGTAGAGTGTCAACCATTTTAAGCCGTGGGGCTTACTGGTCTGGTAGAAATTCAACCATTTGCAACGTTTGGCTCACACTTCACGTCTGTAGAGTTTCAACCATTTGCAACGTTTAGCTCACGCTTCACGTCTGCTGGTCTGAGGTGAATTTCGTTACGAGGCTTTTTATGCACTCGGGGTAAAAGGGGCATTCCATCATGTTTGTGCTGATCTGGGCATGGCCACTGACTGAGAACAAATCAATATGGAAAACAATCATCTCATCTAGAATGCTAAAATCACATTGTTATCTTCACAAAAGTATTATTATACTTAATCATTCGTTTTATACAACCATTAGATGCAAACCCCATAACTGGGAAGTGTACACCCCCAGAGATATAGTTATGTTGTTCCACCGTCTTTAATGACATCACAACATAGTAACGAATTTGACATGATTGTTCTTTAAGTTGGGCTCCCGAGTGGCGCAGCGGTCTAAGGCACTGCATCTCAGTGCTTGAGGCGTCACTACAGACCCCCTGGTTCGATTCCAGGCTGTATCACAACCGGCCATGATTGGGAGTCCCATAGGGCGGCACACAATTGGCCCAGCGCCGTCTGGGTTTGGCCGGTGTAGGCCGTCATTGTAAATAAGAATTTGTTCTTAACTGACTTGCCTAGTAAAATTAAATTAAAAAATAAAGTCCCCACCAATCATTTCCCACATTCTTTTAAGTAGGAATATTTTTTCACTATCCACTTTTGGATGTTGGAGTCTTGGCAGGAAGACTTCCTTTGTCTCACAGGGAAATTCCCTTTCCCAATACTGCATGGCACGGAAAATAAAGTTTCTGCAAGGAATTTACGACCGGTCATAAAACTGGCCCCCAGGAAAGGGGGTGTTCAAACCTTTGCCTAGCAGGAATCTTTGATCCTCAGCCCATGATGGCAAGTCATGACAACTGCTCAAACGCATTAAGAAGGAAAGCAATTCCACAAATTAAACTTTTAACAAGGCACAACTATTAATTGAAATGCATTCCAGGTGACTACCTCATGAAGCTGGTTGAGAGAATGCCAAGAGTGTGCAAAGCTGCCATCAAGGCAAAGGGTGGCTACTTTGAAGAATCTCAAATATAAAATATATGTTGATTTATTTAACACTTTTTTGGTACTACATGATTCCATATGTGTTATTTCATAGTTTTGATGTCTTCACTATTATTCTAGAATGTAGAAAATAGTAAAAATAAAGAAAAACCCTGGAATGAGTAGGTGTGTCCAAACTTTTGACTGGTACTGTATATTTGTTTAATACATTGTATTTTTTAAATTATTATTATTGGGCTGCTAGTTGCCCATCCCTGGTTTAGGACATATTTTTGGGGGGCTCATAACATTATCCTCAGACATACTGTAACAGCGTTGTGGTTTAACATTCAGACACAGCAAATTGGATATCATAGTATTATTTCTCAAGGCGTTCCTAAATTAAACATTTTGTGGCCATTTCTTTCATTGTTTTCCTGTAAAATGCAAGAGGCGCTGTTAAGGTATGATTGGCAACTCCTACGTCCTCTGGTCTGTGGTCCTCAGACAAACAGTCAGTTCCTCACCGCGGCTCTGACTCCAGGGCACTGCTTTTGACCTCCCTCAGCAAAACTCCCCATACACCATACTCCATCATAGCCACTAAAGGATAATTAGTTTTGTCTATGCCACAGGTTTTGATGATAAGGTCGAACAACATACAGTGCTGAAGTGATCATCAGTGACATAAGAATGCTTATATGATATACAGTTAATAGCATAACGATAGTGGACAGGGCTGTATCATTATGACTGAGATCTCTCTGTCTGTCTCCAGGTTGTACAGATGACATCTTCACCAGCGACCACTCGCCTGTTTTTGCCACATTCCATGTAGGGGTGACATCACAGTTCATCTCCAAAACAGGTGATTGTGGTTATTTTGACATAAGAATTTCTATGAATATACGTCATATAATATAACCTTTATGCTTGCTTGTGAGCCTCTATTGCCTTGTACTACAAACAGACCCAAGCTCGAGCATGGAGAGGGCCTGGATAGAGTTGGAAGGTGTTGAGGCCATTGTGAAGACAGCCAGCAAAGCCAAGTTCTTCATTGAGTTTCATTCATCCTGCCTTGAAGGTGCTTTGTCCTTAATCATCTTTTCTCAGCTAGTTCATCTAAAGTTCTATAATAAACTCTGTGACTTATGTGATTAATGATTTAAGTCGATATCTGTTTTGAGCAGAGATCCGCCGTTCCATAGAGAATGATTTGCAGAGCTGTGACGTGCCTGGCTTCCTCAAACTGGGCTGGTCCCCCAAGCAGCTACCCAAGGTAAATACATCAACCTGGAGCTAGATGACGAACTCATACCAAAGACGCATTGCTAACCTGTGTGTGTCTACATATCATAGCTTCTCCCGATCGTCTCAGACATGGAGTACCTTCAGGATCAGCACCTCCTGCTGTCTGTCAAGTCATGTGACGGGTTTGAGTCATACGGTTGGTCATTACTCCTTCCCTTCGTGTTCGTAACCGCCACCATTCACTATTTCCCCTCTCATCAGTCACTTAGCAAAAAGTAAATCAACGCCCTTTGACCCTAGTCATTGAGATGTTTTGAAGTGTATTTTAGGCACAGATCAAGGACCAGCGTACAGTCTTCAAATCTTAACTATTAGGGGAGAAAAAAGCTAAACTGACCAGAGATCAGTGTCTGGGCTGGGACAGCTTCATCCCACTCCAATGTTGACCGTACCGTTGACCCTGTAGGTGAGTGCTGTGTGGCGCTGCGCTCCCTCATCGGCACAGCAGAGCAGTTTGAGACATTTCTGACCCACCGGGGTGAGGAGATGGGCTCCATACGTGGGCGGGTCAGGGTCCACGTGCCCAAGGACCGGCGACGAACACGGGAGAAGATCTACGGTGGGTTCGCCTGCCTGCACTCTCGCCAACCTCCTCGCTGCTCTCCTCTCCTTCCTCTGCTTGTACTATCACTTCCCGCTGGGCTTCTGTTGCGACAGTCCATATGCTCTTTGGTTCTCCTGTGTATCTCTCAGTTCTTCCTCTATTTGGTTCCTGATTGATCCAAGGCTTTGCATTCTCTCTCTGTGGTCTCTGCCCTGGCTTCCTCTTTTGGCTCCTCGCTGACTGATCCTGACCAGATGCATCCTGAGACATTCAAAGGACACACAGTGTGAGTGGGTGCCATTTGCCCTATAGGTCAGGCATTATGCATTGCCATGACAACACGCATAAACACTACCACCACACGCCAGGGGCAGCCTTTACCCCAGACAACACAGAACATATGGAAAAGACATGAGTTAGATGGTGTCCAGTAAACATCTATTTTGTCTTTTTCAGAGTGGTTCTGCTTTGAGAAGGATGAGAAGGGTCTGGTGAGAGGACGCTTGTCTCCTCCGTCCACTCGAGCACCTATCAGCCGGTGAGGATCTTTTTGGTGTTTTTCAAGTCACTCATTGTAAAACCAGCCAACATACATTGTCAGCATATGATTCCGAGATATGATTAGTGATGGGAGTATGCAGTGTGGTTTGTCATTTAGCCTACTTTCATTATTATCTGTCCACCCATTTCAGATCCTCACCGCCTCCGCCCAAGCCGGCCCCTAGCAGTTACACAAACCCTGCCTACTTCATATTTGAAGGTGTGTCTGTCCTGGGCAGGGTAGAGGAATCTCCACCCCCTCGCACGGACCCTCAGGTGGTCTGGGCCGGCGACTCCGTGCTGCAGTTACCCAAACTCTTTGGGGGGCATGGCTATGACAGGAAGTCCCCTCGCAGGTCCGACTTCACTGAAATCGAGATTCCAGGCATCCTGCCGCACTACCCTTCCACCAATCACCATCATCCACCCCAGACCAACTCCTCCTATCAGCTCTTCCCATCAAAGGACCCATCGCCAATCCCCCCTGCCCCAAGCCCCACCACCACCTCTCACTATCATGAACAACCCATACAACCACGACCAAGCAAGAACAATGTTGTCCAGGATTCCATCCTGCCTGCCAAGAACCTGAGGAACATGTACATGAACCACTCCGCCATCATCAGAGAGACCCCCAGGAGAGAACAGCCTAGGGTGCACCAACACCCTGTACGGAGCAGCAAACTCCCAGCCTTCTACCCCTATGTGTCCACCTGTGTGCCCCACACCCAGGCCTCAGCCCCCTGGGTGGTGGAGCAGCCAGTTGGGCCCCTTGGGGACCACTCCCTCACAGCCCTGCAGATTGCCAAGTCACTCAGCGAGGTGGACTTCTTCCCTGTGGACCTTAAGGCTCCATTTACCCCATGCCAGAGACCGGCCCAGAGGAAGGACCTAGCCATGGCTGCAGAAAGAGGCTACTGCTGGGAGAAAGAGGTGGGTAGATGTAATATGTAGAGCCTAGTAATGGGCCCAGGTCTTCTTCAGGTTTTCTAGGTCAGGTCACGTTATCAGGAAAAATGAGTCATAGCCCTAATACAGGGGGCCTCCTGTAGCTCAGTTGGTAGAGCATGGTGCTTGCAATGCCAGGATTGTGGGTTTGATTCCCACGGGGGGCCAGTATGAAAAATGTATGCACTCACTAACTGTAAGTCGCTCTGGATAAGAGCATCTGCTAAATGACTAAAATGTAAAATGTACTATGGCAATGGACAGGTAGTTTTTTGATGAGACGTTTGTTTTGGTGTTTGATACAGGTCCTCCATGGAGCTCCAGAGACGGTGCGAGAACTACTTAGCACCCTGGGTCTGCAGAAGTACACTCTGGGACTCAGCCTCAATGGCTGGGATGACCTGGACTACTTCAGGTGAGAGGAGGAATGATGGTGGATGGAACCTGATTCGTTTGGTCTCGGTGGTCTAAGTCAGTCAGGGATAGCTAAATGACCTTTGCCCTCTCCACAGTGGCATCACAGAGGAGGACCTGCGTGCAGCCGGAGTGTCGAACCCGTCGCATCGCCGGAGGATCCTGGAGAACCTACCCAAGATCTGGGATTCACTATAGACCTACTCACTTTGTTTGAGTTCTCAAACTGAACCCAATGGACGTCAGGGACAGATGCCTGCCCTAATGGACTACTCGCTATCTCTTCCACTCACCGTCCTTTTATTTACAGTAAAAATGACTTTCTAGTAAGCAAACACACAGACATGGTGCATGTCCCATGAAATCCTCATCTCATATCCGTTTCCATACCTTAAAATGAGAGATGTGGATTCAAGCCATGGTCAAACATTTTTTATATCCAATTTAGATCCACATAGCTAAATATTGATTATGTGTCTCCCCAGCAGTCACCGGACGAGAGTGTTTACTGAGCAATCACACGCATCACCTCCTCCCCTGCCCTTTCCACTGCTTTACCGTTATAAAGAACAGCACAGAGCTTGTAAAATCAATCAATAGGGGCCATGGAGGATGAAATGTATAGCTGTACATATTTACCAGTACACATTTTAACATGGCCTGGAAAGTTAATAAGATAAGGTCTCGCTTTCTGTTTACTGTCTGATGGTATTGTTATGTTGTCACTGTGGTGTAGCTGTTGTTAGTGATAAGAGGGGAATCCAGTGGGAGGAATATGTGAACTCTGGGCTCGTTTATTTACATTCTTACTCTTACATTGTAGATCTTGTTTCTCTATTCAATTTTCTCTCCCTTAGCTAATAACTCGTGTGTGCTCACAAGATAATAAAGAGGCACCCACCCATTTAACATGAACATCACAGTCACTTAATCAATGCTTCTGTGAACTTTTTTTATTTTTTTTACTGCCTTTTAAAAACGGAATTGTATAAAACTAACTGTTGACATATGTGGGTTCTTAGACACTGCTACTGTGTGAAGATCGATGGCATAAAACCTGTGCTTGACGCCTGTGGTTCTTTTCCTGTGGTTCTTTGCAAGTGGCGCTACTTTGCTCATCATCTGAACTTTAGATATACATTTAACTGTGGATCTTGGAAGTTTACTACTTTATTTTCTGAAGGTTGTTGAATTAAGGAAATTAGTATTACATGTAGGCTATATTACATTTATTCAACCAAATGGGGCACGACGTGAATAAAACAATGTTATGACAACATTATGAAATTAATATATATTTATTAGGACATTTGGGACCATGTAATACAAAGGAAATTGAGCATGGGGAGGTTCCATATCCCAGACTGTACTATGGAATTATGTTTGTTTTGTCTTCATATAAAACTATAAAACTATCCACACCAAGTGGGTATTTCCTCTCTTTATGATACAGGCCTTGCTGGCACAGAAATACAATGACGGCAAAACAAATCGACCATGCCTTGATATAATCAACCTACAATGGTATACCTAGATACAGTATATAAACACAACTATATTGCAATCTTTATAGAAATGACAGAAATACAATTGAATAGCTATCAGCATTTGCTTGATTTGCAATATTATAACAGGTTTAGTTATTATCTTTGCTAATTGTTATTTTTCTTGAAGCCTTTCTTTGTTAGACATCTTCCCCACCAGACCTGTGTCTGGTTTCACATTATATGTTCAGTTACACCCACAAAAACCACACTACTCTGTCTCTGTGCTGCATTTACCCTTTCCAATGACATGACAATGTCAGTACCACACATGATAGCTCAATGGATGTTATCAAGGCCTGCATGTTTGAACAGGATAAATACTTTCTCTCTTATGTAAATTACAATGTAAAGTGTACCCATGGAGCGACAAATACGTATTTGTCCTTACAGCAAATGTTCTGCAACTACAAGCTGTAAGTATGTCCGATCTAACTTCGGAACCCAGAACCATATCCTGTCTGCGCTGGCCATGTAAGTTCTACTCATTTTAACACAGGCAACAGGCAAGAGTGGAGGACGTGTGTCCGTGTGAGATTCTGAGAAATCTGTTGATATTATCGGTCTGTGTGTTTGCAGCCTTCTGTGGTGGTGCATACGGACAAGTTAGTCATTCAAAAATGAGCCAACACATCCCTCTGTGTCCCCTGACAGCAGGTATGTGTCAGTGACCCCCTTGGCTGACCGTAGAGGCAAATGTGTACTGGTCTCCCCTTCCTGGACTCAGACACCGTGGGGTGATGGCCAGGGTGATAAGACCCCTGGTCAGACTGGCTCTGGTGGAACTCTCATCATGTCATCACAGGACATCCTCAGGGGATTCTGGGACTTTTGGCAGAATGTCAACACAGTGATCCTGTCTGCTCCTCTATAAACCCAACAGCCTTTGTCCACTAAGCCAGGAACAAGGTGATAGTGTGGCTGTGATTCAAATCATTCTAATCCAACTGCTACTACTACTAATAATAAGGCTGTGGCTGGAGCCGACTTTTCCCTGACCTTATTTTCCGAGCGCATGTGATTCTTTACCTCTACATTACGCATATATTTTTCTGGTCTCCTTCCCTTCACATTTCTCGCTGTCAGTCGTGAATGATAATCCATGCAGCATCTGCATACCAACCATTTGATCTCAATCAGTTTCATTGGGATATGCATTTAGATCTTCTTGAGTTATACAGTGTTGTTTCGAAGTAGCCTACAGTGTTGTTTTGAATTATGTACAGTAAGCGAATTCTAGAGCAGATGGTGTTAACTGTAGCAGAGCATACCTGTGTATTTTTCCTAGTGGCACGTGCTGTTGAGATTTGGCCACATGAGAGAAAAATATGGTGGTGTTTTTGTCTTACAGTAACGCAATGCTATTATATTCGTTTATTTTATGTAGAATACTATCATAATGTGATCTTGCAGACATTGATTCAGCTTTCATCTAACTTTATAAAACAAGCACCATTCACCAGAGTTCTCTAAAAGTAGAGCAGAGACTGTAGAGAATAAACATGGGGACCTTTAACATTAGAAAAAAAAGGTCAGGGAAAAGCCGCAGCCACTCTGTAATAATAATACATTACATGTTTTATGTGCAGTAAGTACGTTAAAATAAAATAAAATGTAAAGACAAAATAAGGACACAACTAGACAGGGTCACTGACACAAAGAACAAAGGGACAAACACAACAAAAAACTGAGCTGACGCTACAAACACAACAAGGAACACATCTATAGTGAGCTCCAAAAGTATTGGGACAAGGACACATATTTTCTTGTTCTGGCTCAGTACTCCAGCACTTTGGATTTGAAATGATACAATGGATCTGGACCTGGTGAGGGGTGTCAACAAGTAGAGCCTCGGTTTTGCTGCTGTTAAATTGAAGGAAGTTTTGCTTCATCCAAGCCTTTATCTCCTTAAGGTAGGTGTTCAGATGAGCACAGGCAGCAGAGAGACTTGGGGCAGTTTTCACCAGTGACGGTCAGTGCCGTTTAAGATGAGGGAGGATTGTTTATTTTTTACGAGCATGGCCTTATTTCTATTTAAGTGATAATGGCCGAGAAGCCGGTGTTTGGAGGATATATTGGCATTCCCAGTCTTTTAGTTCTGTATCTATGGATGCGACCCAGTCGTTAATTGTAAATGTTCCATTGCCATACTGGCTGGCAACATTCTTATCCCTTGCTTGCTAGCTAGCCAACTACGGCTAACTTACAGTCACGCCAGAATAACAGCAAAGTAGATGCATTTGCATTTGTTTAAGGTGTTTTCTAGTGACATTTATTTGGATACATCCATAACAATGAGCTAATGAGGCTCGATTTTGCCTGGCATAGAAAATGTGCTCACTCATCAGGACACTGTTGTTCAGAGGAGCTAGCCAACAACACAGCTAACACAATAACTTCAAACTGAAGCTGGAAAGACTGAATATATTTAGTACAGTTTTATCTAAAAATGATCACCTTTTTAATATTTCACTATTTGTATGAAATTCACTGAGGAGGATGGTCCTCCCCTTCCTCCTCTAAGGAGCCTCCACTGGTTTCACATATAGCTGGGTACATCAGCAGAGGAATATTATTGATATTATCTGTATGAGTGCTCACCTGATGCTAACTCATTACCTTGGTAGTCTACTACACATGGTATTGGATTTGAACAAAAGGGAAAATACAATACACTGACTTTCTGTCTGTGAATGCTATATAAAGCAAGTCAGCCTGTCCCTTAATTGGTACTGAGTGGGTTTCTGACTTCTCCATAGGTCAGGCTTTAAAGGGGAAGGAAGAGGAGGGACTGCACTGACCCCAGGATATAAGCAGGAGCACTGCCGGACCCACAGAAAGAATGTATAGCAAATTAGCACCATGACACTGCAATGAGACTAATTTGTTTGAAGAACCAAACAAGCACATTTATCCTAAATAGTAATTTACAGTATAAATCCTCAATAGCAATCGTTCACATGTGAAAGTGATGTTGTTTTTACAAGGGCATCTGCAAGGGTAGAAATCTTGAGTTAAAGGCAAATCCATTCAAAAACTATCTTTTGGTATTTGTTTAATTAGTCCACTGTTGATACAGTCCCAAAATGTTTTACATGTCAGCAATCAAGTTTTCAAGATATAGAACTGTCAAAATACAGAAAGTGTCACAGTATGATGCGTTTGAACAATCGATAATCAAATCTACATTTCCCAACAGGGCCACACCCATAGGCTCGTACACACACAGTCTACATACCAACAGCTACTGTACAGTACAGGAATTCAGCAGAATGTGCGCTCATTGTGATCTAAAAGGCTAAGCTGATCATAGATCAGCATTCCTACTCTGAGATGCTTTGTGAATACGGACCCAGATCTGATGCATGCTATATGAAACTAGAAGCATAAATATTGTAGTTTCTGACCGTCCTGTTTGGAGTCATGTGAAAACTGACATTCCCAGCTAGATAACACCTGGACTATGCGTCTCTGCCAAAACCAGGTTAATGCTCATCCTGCCCACATTTATTTCTTTATGATCATATCCAGGCTCTGTCGCAGCCGGCCGCGACTGGGAGACTCATGGGCGGCGCACAATTGGCCCAGCGTCGTCCAGGGTAGGGGAGGGAATGGCCGGCAGGGATGTAGCTCAGTTGATAGAGCATTGCGTTTGCAACGCCAGGGTTGTGGGTTCGATTCCCACGGGGGGCCAGTATAAAAAAAAAAAAAAAAGATGTATTCACTAACTGTAAGTCGCTCTGGATAAGAGCGTCTGCTAAATGACTAAAATGTAAATGTAAAAATCATGTTTTATCATTTTATCACTCACATTTCCGGCAAATTCTGACGATGATGTGGAAAGGTGGCCAGAGACAATACTAAATTTCTCCTGTCACGCCAGGATCAACCCCTGTGTAAATGTGCTACTTTGCGACAACCATTTACAGAACTGTCTAAATATTAACCTTAAAGCTGTAGCAATGACCCACCAATATAAGGCTTGCCTGGCAGTAGAATGATGACAAGCAGGACAGAGTTGAAGAGACACAGTAGCATACTTTCTGGTTGAATACACAGTCTGATTAATCACTTTCACAGTATATTAACCTTAACACTCATTTGGAAAATCAAATACATAACCACATTTTTGTCACTTAGAAAGTATTCACCCCCCTTGGCATTTTTCCTATTTTGTTGCCTTACAACCTGGAATTTAAATGGATTTTTTGGGGGTTTGTATCATTTGATTTACACAACATGCCTACCAATTTGAAGATGCAACATATTTTTTCTTGTGAAACAAACAAGAAATAAGACAAAAAAACAGAAAACTTGAACGTGCATAACTTGAGCTGCAAGTCTCTTGGGGTATATCTCTATAAGCTTGGCACATCTAGCCACTGGGATTTTTTCCCATTCTTCAAGGCAAAACTGCTCCAGCTCCTTCAAGTTGGATGGGTTCCGCTGGTGTACAGCAATCTTTAAGTCATACCACAGATTCTCAATTGGATTGAGGTTTGGGCTTTGACTAGGCCATTCCAAGACAT